ACACAATATATACACTATATACAAATAAGTAGTAGCTATGTTTCTTAACTAACATAACTAGCTGTAGATGCTGAAAATGCTTCAATACCAGTCAAAAAATATATATGTAGTAGTGCAGTTATATACTGTACAGTTAAATAGTGCAGGATAAAAAGTATATAAGTAAAGTGACATGAGGTAAAGTGACATTGTTCTGTGACATCCTGAAGTTGCAGTATTCCGCATTGCATATGATTTAAGAATTTACTTAATTACAGATGAATGAAATTTACAGGCTCAGCAGTTCTTATTGTACAGTCTGACAGCAGCAGGAAGGAAAGACCTACGGAACCTCTCCTTCACACAGCAAGGGTGAATTAGTCTGTCACTGAAACTGCTCTACAGAGCAGAGAGAGTGTCCTGCAGGGGGTGACAGTCATGGTCCAGCATAGATGTTAAGCCTAGCGTACATCGGACTGGCAACTGATTATATCCGTCGCATATGAGTTGCTGCCCCGCACACATCGACAATCTGACGAAAACGGGCAACTCCCAGTAGCAGACCAGTCTCGGGAATAACAGCGCGTACATCAACAGCAACTGGCCTCAACTACAGTGTGTTTTCTGACATGAACTGTTGCGGGCTCGCAATACACGCAATACACACACGTTGTCGGAGCGGCGCATGGAGCGCGCACATCGGGTCATATCTCCGAAACTGAGGACAACTGGTTGCCGAAAAGTAGAACACGGGCAACTGACTGAAACTGGAGACCGACTGATCATCTCCAGTTGTAAGAGCGCGCACATCGACCGATTTCGGCAACTGATCATCTCCCACCATCTCCTCTCAGTTGCCAAAAGCCGCCTTGCAACTAGTTGTCTCCAGTTTCTCTGTCGATGTACGCTAGGCTTTAGTTTGCTCAGGACCCTCCTGTCCCCCACCTGCTGCACTGTGTCCAGGGAACAGCCCAGAACTGTCTGCGGAAATCCACCACCATCTACTTGGTCTTCCCCGCGTTGATGAGGAGGTGGTTCCGCTGACACCTATCCACAAAGTCCTGTATAACTGCTCTGTACTCTGTGTCATCGTCCTCGGAGCTGAGTCCGATGATGTCGTCAGAGAACTTCTGTAGAACACAACCGTCCGTGTTGTGTCTGAAGTACGCAGTGTAGAGGGTGAAGAGGAACGGCGCGAGGACAGTTCCCTGGGGGGCCCCCACACTGCAGGTCAGGACCTCCGACACAAATACTTTGTAATATAACCTTTGTTGGCAATAACAGAGGTCAAACGAGTACTATAGGTCTTTACCAGGTTTGCACACACAGTAGCTGGTATTTTGGCCCATTCCTCCATGCAGATCTTCTCAAGAGCAGTGAACACGGACTTTCAACTCCCTCCACAGATTTTCAATGGGGTTGAGGTCTGGAGACTGGCTAGGTCACTCCAGGACTTTCAAATGCTTCTTACAAAGCCACTCCTTCGTTGCCCGGGCGATGTGTTTGGGATCATTGTCATGCTGGAAGACCCAGCCACGTTTCATCTTCAAAGCTCTCACTGATAAGGAGATTATCAGTGGTCTTGTACGTCTTCCATTTTCTGATAATTGCTCCCACAGTTGATTTTATGAGACCAAGCTGCTTGCCTATTGTAGATTCACTCTTCCCAATCTGGTGGAGGTCTACAATTCTTTTCCTGGTGTCCTTCGACAGCTCTTTGGTCTTGGCCATAGTGGAGTTTGGAGTCTGACTGTTTGAGGCTGTGGACAGGTGTCTTTTATACAGATAACGAGTTCAAACAGGTGCCATTAATACAGGTAACGAGTGGAGGACAGAAGAGCTTCTTAAAGAAGAAGTTACAGGTCTGTGAGAGCCAGAGATCTTCCTTGTTTGAAGTAACCAAATACTTATTTTCCACCATAATTTACAAATAAATTCTTTAAAAATCCTACAATGTGAATTCCTGGATTTTTTTTCACATTCTGTCTCTCACAGTTGAAGTGTACCTATGATGAAAATTACAGACCTCTGTCATTATTTTAAGTGGGAAAACTTGCACAATCGGTGGCTGACTAAATACTTTTTTGCCCCACTGTATGTAGCACTAGAATGTACTACTGCTCAACAAACGTTTTGGACCACCTGTTATGACAACATAAAGAACTTTAGTATTATTATTAGTATAGAACTTTAAATTAACAGTATAGATTTTTATTCAATATTCATTAAGAAAATAATCAATTGGAATAACTACATAGTCCTTGTTAAGTCTGGACTTATTTCCATCAAATCCAGCTTCAGATTAATTCTTATTTAACCACTATAGAAATAAAAAATATATTATTTTATTTTAAACCCTTAGGTGGTTCGGTAAAACACGCACAGCATTGTTATACATCTGTTTTATTTTAGCTTCATTTGAGTTATGTATAAAAAATATTTATGTTCAATTTGTAAAAAAGTTGTTCAGCATTTTAAAAATGAGTTAGATTTCTAAGTTTGAATTACTGTAATAGGTTTATTTACAGAAAAAGCCAATATTACTGTATCAATATATCGTTAAAAATCTACTGTATTGTATCGAATAAGATAAGATATGCTTTATTTATCTCACAAAGGAGAAATTTACATGTCACATTGGCATGGATAGAAACACTCAAGATGCAAACATGTTAAATGCAGGATATATTATGTACAATAAAAAAGTGGCAATCAGAAATAGTGTCAATAGTAGTGCAGGTCTTATACAGTGACTTAAAGTGACTTATTGTACAGTCTGACAGCAATGGGGATAAAGGCCCTGCGGTAGCGCTCCTTCTTACCCTGAAGGTTCCTAAGTCTTCCACTGAAGGAGCTCCTCAGCTCCTCTATAGTCCTGTGCAGTGGGTGGGAGGTGTTGTTCATGATGGAGGTGGCTTTGACTAGCACCCTCCTGTCCCTCACCTCCTCCACAGAGTCCAGGGAGCAGCCCAGAGTGGAGCTGGCCCTCTTGACCAGCTTGTTCAGTCTGCTTCTGTCCCGCTCTGTGCTGCCCGGGGCCCAGCACACAGCAGCGTCGTATATGGCAGAGGCTACCACAGAGTCACAAAAAGTCCTGAGCAGAGGCCTGCTCACTCCGAAGGACCTCAGCCTCCTCAGAAGGAAGAGACGACTTTGGCCCTTCTTGTACAGGGCGTTATTGTTATGGGACCAGTCCAGTTTATTGTTGATGTGAACACCCAGGTACTTGAAGCTGTCCACCAGCTCAATGTCCTCCCCCTGGATGTTCAGCGGCGTGTGGGAAAGTGGTTTTCCCCTGAAATTGATGACCATCAAGCACAAGTGGCTGCGCTCGCACCAGTTGACAAAGTCCGTGATAACCGACCGATATTCCAGTTCGTTCCCCTCAGACACACAGCCCACGATGTCGGAGTTGTTGGAGAACTTCTGCAGGTGACAGCTGTGTGTGTCGTGTGTGAAGTCTGAGGTGTTGATGGTGAAGAGAAACAGTGAGAGGACAGTGCCCTGAGGGGCCCCAGTACTGAAGACTACCACCTCAGACTCACAGCTGCGCAGCCGCACGTACTGTGGTCGGTCTGAGAGGTAGTTGATGGTCCATGCAGTGAGGCTACTGTCCACTCCCGCGTCCTCCATCTTCCCCCGCAGCAGTGCTGGCCTGATGGTGTTGAAAGCACTGGAGAAGTCAAAAACATGACCCTCACAGCGCTCCTGGCGGGCTCCAGGTGTGCACTGTTTTAGTAACTGGGTTTTCACAGGTCTTCCAGAGGGCAGGGACCTTCTCCAGGCTGAGGCTCAGGTTGTAGATGTGGCTGAGGACCTCAGGAGCTGGTCTGCACAGGTCCTCAGCAGCCTTGGACTGATCCTGTTTGGTCCTGTGGATTTCCTCTGCTTTTGTCGCTTCAGCTCTCTCCTCTCCTGGTCCGGTGTGATGGAGAGGGTAGAGTAGGGGGGCTGTCAGAGGTGGGGGCTGGGGATGTGGGTGCTGCATGAGGCAGTTTTAAGGCCATTCCACTGGGCAGTGTCCACTGGGCTGGAGACGTGTGACGAGGTGGGGGCGGGAATCAAACCGGTTGAAATATTGGTTCAAATCATCCACCCAGCACTGGTCTCCATTCGCTGTCCCTCTGGCACGCTGTCCGAATCTGGTGATGTTCTTTAGACCACTCCAGCTTTTCCCCATAGTCCTTCTTGACCCTCCTGATCCTCCACTAGAGGAAAAAAAGAAAAACGCTAATCAGCAAGAGGAGCGTAGAGAAGCGAACCCGGCAGGTAAACACAAACCGGCAGATATAGCACAGACCAGCAATGAAAGGATGCCCCCGGATCCGCACTCCAGCCCCGGTCCAAAAGACTGGCAGTGGCGAGCAGCGGAGAGGCACCGGCCGCAACATGCAACCTCTAGCAGGAGTGGTGATGCGGGAGAGGCAGCTAAGACCACAAACAGCTGCAGCACAGAAACTAAACGTCCAAACCGTAAGTAGACTAGTGGCACAGAGCAAACTCCATATACGGTCGACGAGCCAGACTTGTGGCAGATGAGAATTTGCTCATGGCGCTGCGCAGCTGAGTGTGATTGACTTTGGGTGCTGTGAGCTTAGTTCTCCTCACTTCCATTCTGAGCCTCCGTGTTAGCTTCATTTCTGAAAATGTAACTTAAATGGCATTGTTTAAACCTCTCTTAAACACACACTTTGATGGGAAAGCATTTTATACTTTTATTCTTGTTTATAATTGTTATACCCATTATTACGTTGGTGTTTTTATCCACTTCGTATGATCTTAATCTGTTTTTTTGGGATTGTGTGATTTGTTTATAAAGGTGCAATAAAATTACAAATTATTATTATTATTATTCATGATTTTAATATTTTCAAAGAAAGAATATTAAATGTAGATGTTAAAACTAGTGAAGGAACCAAACTGTTTTGAGAGTGAGGATCAATGCATGGATTTTTACTACATATTTGTTTCAAAGTTAGGGATTCCAGCTTTACTAAAATCTGTGTCTTGTTTTATTAAAGTTACAGTTTGCTGAAAATGACTACTATGGAAATGTGATGCAGACGCTGAAGTTTATCGCTCGCTCCGACCTGGTCTGGCTCGGAAAGACAGTCCCACGAACAGAGTACGTTCATAAAGAAGTGCAGTGAAAGAAAATGCATTTGAAATATTATATGCTCAGAGTAATATTTGTGCAAATGTTGATGTGATATTTGGCTTAAAATCTATGCACCAAAAATCTGCTGATGTTTTTTTTAGCACTACATGAATCCATGAAAGAGTAATGCATTTGTTCTCATTGTCTGAGCCTTGTATTAACATTCTGTATGTGTTTTCATAATAGATGGTTCACCAACCCCACCACAGTGAACGCCTTCTACAGCTCCTCCACAAATCAAATCAGTAAGACGCTTCACAACAAGTGTTGCTTTAATCAGAAATAAAAAAATATTGTACGCGGTTCAGCATTTTTTTTTTTTTTTACTAGTTGTGCGGCATTGACCAGTGATGGGAATAACGGCGTTACTTTTTTCAGTAACGAGTAATCTAACTAATTACTTTGACTAACTATAACGCCGTTATCATTGCCGACACCCTGTTACTGCGCGTTACTCAAGTCGCACAATTAACTTTTTTTCCGTCATTATAGGATCCTGTAAAACAGGGGTCGGCAACGTTTGTGATATGGAGTGCCAGTTTGAAATTTTCTTCTCATCTAGTGTGCCATTACCATCGATAAACGCACAAAAAAACCAAACATTTCCAATATACCTGGAATTTTATTCTCAACAATAACAGTATCTGTATTCAAAATAATTTAGCCACATCAACATTTCAAAGACTGAAAAACAGCTAGTGTAGCATATAACAATATTAAGTCCAGTAAACTGATTGTATTTGGGCTCAGACCAGAAGCTAGGATTCAGTTCACAGAGGGAGAGGTGTTTAAAATCACAGACAACAAAGACAGTGGTGTGGTCCACATGTGAATTATGTTAAAAGATAGATATTAGGGATGCAAGGGTTTGAAAAAAAAAAAATAAAAATAAAAATCACAGTTCTGATTGTACCTCGGTTCAGAGGCCACGGTTCGGTTCATTTTTCCCAAAAATTTTTTTGTCTATTTAATAAACTCGGCTCATGTGGACTTGGCACCTGCAGGAGGAGTGGCCGGTGCTCTGTGTACTGGGTGCAGCTCTTTTTTTCACTCATGTCTTTCTTGTGCCACAGTGTTTACACATCGTGACAGTTTTGTTGAATATTAAATCATCAGTATAGTTACAGTGGAGCCAAAATGCTCTCATACTGGGGATTTAAATGACGCGGGGCTTTCAAGTTCCTCTGCTCGCCATGATTACGCTGTGTGTGGACTGAACAACATAGTGGGAGCGCACAACTTTTTTTTTCATAAATCAAACCGTGGATCACGTCTGTACCGAACCGAAGACGTTGATCCGAACGGATCACGGATCAGTGATGAACCGTTGCACCTCTAATAGATATTTACAAAGGCAGGCATTACACACACCCCACATTCACAATATTTACAAAAAAATAATTGAACAGGTTTTGAGTGAGAGAGTCCGGTTGAGAGTTGGGTTTGGCAGGTTGGTTTGATAAGGTGGAGCGTGTACTTTGCAGTAATCCAGTTCAGGTTATTGTCTCAGTTTGTGGTGGTGTGTGGGGGAGCAAAGACTGCTCGCCTCCTACCGCACTGTAGGGTTGACAATCTCGAGGTTTTCGGCCTGGGCAGCTCGCCATCAGAAGAAGTCCATATGGACGGACGGATCCAAGGAACCTGGCCTGCATGACAGGACCAATATAAATATCCAACAGTTTCATTTAGCAATATATCACTACTACAAAAATACATGTACATGTTCAATAAATATACAGTGGGGCAAAAAAGTATTTAGTCAGCCACCGATTGTGCAAGTTCTCCCACTTAAAATAATGACAGAGGTCTGTAATTTTCATTTTTAAAGAATTTATTTGTAAATGATGGTGGAAAATAAGTATTTGGTCACTTCAAACAAGGAAGATCTCTGGCTCTCACAGACCTGTAACTTCTTCTTTAAGAAGCTCTTCTGTCCTCCACTCGTTACCTGTATTAATGGCACCTGTTTGCAATATTTGCAATATTTGAACTCCTTATCTGTATACAAGAAGAGCCCAAATGTAGCCCACAACAATATTTCAACCACTGATAATCTCCCTCGATCTGGGGCTCCACGCAAGATCTCATCCCGTGGGGGTCAAAATGATCATGAGAACGGTGATAAAAATCCCAGAGCCACACAGGGGGACCTGGTGAATGATCTGCAGAGAGCTGGGACCAAAGTAACAAAGGTTACCATCAGTTACACACTACGACGACAGGGAATCAAATCCTGCAGTGCCAGACGTGTCCCCCTGCTGAAGCCAGTGCATGTCCAGGCCCGTCTGAAGTTTGCCAGAGAGCACATGGATGATACAGCAGAGGATTGGGAGAATGTCATGTGGTCAGATGAAACCAAAGTAGAACTGTTTGGTATAAACTCAACTAGGGATGTAAATCGGCGACCGGTTAACCGGTGGTTGACCGTCACAGCGTTAACCGGTCAAAGCTGTCGGTTAAAAAAGAGAAAAAGAGGAGAGGGGAGGTCTCTTAATAACGCTATTTTAAGCCCTATTTGCACGGTGTGACGAGCGGGTCTGTATCTAGCTGTGTGCGCCCATGTATTATAAACTCCGGGACGACTCTCACGCCGCACGAGCCACATATGCACACACGCGCGCGCGCGCACACACACACACACACACACACACATACACACACACACTTTCCCCCTCTCCATACGTAACATCCACAAGCATCATCTCTCCCCTCTGTTACCGTCAAAGTTGCACACTGGCGCGGGTCAGAACTACATTGGAGCTTACATTTACACACACACACATACATACACACACACATACACACACACACATATACATACACACACACATACCGGTCTGTCGCGCTCCTCTGTGTCACGGAGCCCAAAGGATTCGCGCAAATACGCGGCTCCAGTCAAAGCACATGGAACATGTTTGTGTTTATGGTCCTCGGGATCAGCTCCACACACATCACTTGTATTTAAACTTTTGTGAAGACCTGTGAGACGCGGCTCGTCACTCGCTGCTCTGACCATGTGAACGAGCCGTCGTTTGCTGCTAGAAAGTTTTGGTATTAACCCGCAGCACAGCAGAATGGGAAGATTAAAAAAGCAGTTCTCTGTGCGCAAAGGTGCCGGAGCTGTTGCGGGTTTGGGCGCCGCTGTCTCAACTCTGATCCAGTAGAACGCAGAGCTGCACGGCTCGAAATGGCTGTTATTTCAAAGAACGTGGACTATTTTAAACTACGCGGTTAACCGGTTTCAACCGGTTAATGAGGCTCGGTGGTCGGTCATGAAAATTCATAGTTTTTTACATCCCTAAACTCAACTCGTCGTGTTTGGAGGAAAAAGAATACTGAGTTGCATCCCAAGAACACCATAACTAGCTGTGAAGCGTGGGGGTGGAAACGTCATGCTTTGGGGCTGTTTTTCTGCTAAGGGGACAGGACGACTGATCCATGTTAAGGAAAGAATGATGGGGCCATGTATCGTGAAATTTTGAGCAAAAACCTCCTTCCATTGAGTTGAATTTCAGTTATTGACCAAATACTTATTTTCCACCATAATTTACAAATACATTCTTTAAAAATCCTACAATGAATTCTTGGATTTTTTTCCCCACATTCTTTTTCTCACAGTTGAAGTGAACCTATGATGAAAATTACAGACCTCTCATTATTTTAAGAGGGTGGTGTCCGCTGGGTCCTAGTGCCGGCCATCAAAAAGCGCTCAGACAATTAAACAGTGTTGCCAACTCCTCAGTAAGGAATAGCTATTGGCTGTCCCAAAAGTCGCTAGAAGTCGCTAAATGACGTCATCGCCTAATTTGCATAATTTGCCATTTGCAAATAACTGTAACGGACGCTATAGGAGAGAGGAATAAGGTCGTGGGAGAGACAAAAGTGAGTAAAAACACCCTAAATATGTTTAGAACTACAAATGTACAAAAATAATTTCAACATTAACAACATTTAATGATTTTAATGCTTTGTCTAGATCCACATTACACACATCAGTTTTGTCCTGTATTGTTAAATGTTATAACAGCAAATGTAATCAAAAGATTGTTATGTAGGGTGAAATTGCTAGCTCTACAACCAACCCTCCTCCTTTATCCGGGCTTGGGACCGGCAAAGTGACCCAAAAGACACACTCTGGCAGAGTTACTTAGGTTTATTTTTGTGTAAGTTTTTTTTTTTTTTCATAGTTTGGCATAACAAATGATTTAATGTGACCCACTACTGAGAGAAAACAGAGTCACGGACAGAGCTGCCGCGGATGGAGTGGGGGGTAGTGGGGGGTGGCGGTGGTAGGAGTGGCCGGGGAGCTTTGGATGTGTGGTGGTGGTGGAGCTGAAGTTCAGTCTGCAGCAGCCTGAAAACTTCCTGTGCTTTTGAGTCTCCTCTCTCTCTCTCTGCTCCGCCCATAGACTGTAGCTGGGACTGCTGCGCAAGGCTACTGTGAGACTGGCCGCCTGTAGTGCTTTGGGACGGGGGAGGGGCTCACGTTGAGGACAGCAGAACAATACGTGCTTCACGAGTCTCCAAAACACCAGATAAGTCGCCAAAACACCAGATAAGTCGCCAATAACACCAGAAAAAGTCGCTAGATTTGTCGCTAGTCGCTTTTTTGAAAAAAAGTCGCTATAGGGGTCTGAAAAGTCGCTAAATCTAGCGACAAAGTCGCTAAGTTGGCAACACTGCAGACAAAGAGGAAGATGCTCTTATTTTTAAAACAGGACAGATGCAGTGAGAATAATGGCACGCGTTTATTCCGCGGCGTGCCACATGTGGCTAGTGATGTGCTGAGCGTGCCGGGTCTTCGAAGCGTGTACCGAGTAAAAAAGGGGCGTATTTTTTGAAACTTGGTTCGAGGCGTGTGTTGGTGACGTATGTGGTGACGTTCAAAGCCTCGCGTAGCGGCCGCACCACGTGACGGTTCATATAGTGCTTCATATAGTTGGGAGAGTGCATTGCTTTGACAGGTGCTTTGTGATCCGCGGCTGTACCATAGACTGTATTGGCTGTCCCCGTCTGCCTCTGTGTGCGTACGTGTGTGCGTGATGTGGAGCAGTCTTGTACTAAGTATAGAGAAACTACTTCATATGAAATACAATTAAAAACGTTTCACTTTAGAAAAACCTCATATATCAAGGCTTCAAGTTATTAGTGATAATACGCTGGATAATACATTTCACAACAGCTGTGTGGCGCAGTCGGTCTATGACGGACTCCGAAGTAGAAGATATAGCGTTCGAATCCCGGT